AAATACGGGCCAATAACCGAGCCCTGAGGACATCCCATTGATAAAGACTTCGACCGAGAATGACCAAGCTTCAGTTTAACGGAACCGTGAAGGAAATACGTGTATATTAGAGGTAATTTATATACGTTACTAACTTTTACGAACTTTAAGTTTTAAGGGTAACATTGGCCACCATGCGTTATCAAAGGCACCGGAAATGTCCAGAAAAATGCCCACTATATACTTGTGCTCAGACGAATTTACCATGGATCAAATAGAAAGAGCCGCGTCGACAGTAGACTTTCCTACACTGAAACCAAATTGATTGTTGTGGAATTTTAGTTTACCTGGCAGTAAACGAGGTAGGATAAGTCGCTCAAGTAGTTTCCCTAAAGATGGCAAAAGCGTACTAGGCCGGTATGACTTAGGGTCATCGGGGGGTTTATTTCCATTCTTGGGGATTATGCGAATAAATCCACGTCGCCATACACGAGGAAAGACACCTTCCGCGATACAACGGTTGAATACAGTTAGGATCGCATCAGCCGCGGATTTACACGCTTCTATTATCATTTGATGAAGATGACAGATGTCATTACTTATTTCTTTTGTAAAAATTATTCAAGTGTGCTTTAAATAAAACCAAAACTATCAAACAAATCATTTAATTTCTCCCGAGCGACGTCGAGAGTGATTTCGAAGACGACGATTCCGAATCCAACAGCCATTGAATACGAGAATATTTTGTAACTTTGAATAAACCGTTTTTTTTTCAACTTGATCCCAATTTTCTTTTGTGCGATTTATTTCAGTCCTTCAACTTCAATGTTACGGTTTCGAGTCAATTCTTTGTTAATTATTATCTAATAAATTCAGGGTCGCAACGTATTCATTGGTTTGTAACAGAAAATTCAAGATGCCTCAATACGATTTTTAAATGATATCTGAGTATCGAAAAGTTGTATGATAGAGAAGGTGCTACACTTCATTTGTCTGATATAAATTTTATGCACATGTGGACAATTTATTTTGTCATGTCCAACAATTTTTAGACATATTGCTGATACCGATCGGTAAAATTTGTTAACATTTTCAAAACGGTCTCAAAATTTAAAGCGTTCACATTTCCGTCTGAAAATTGTTTTGTTCGCATCAAATAACCAAAATTTACTAATAAAAAAGATTTTCAGACGTATTGCTGAGACATTTTCGTTGTCTCATTTTAATTTTTTTTAAGTGACTTTTACGGGTTTGCGCTACACCACTAACGTCTAAAAAATATGTTTCCGGTATCTTAGAACTATCATTCAACTACAGTCTGCAAATCATACATTTTGCTATGATGCAGTTCGGCAAAATTCTTTGTCAATTTTGAAAATTCGGTCAGATCAAACGCTACGCGGAAAATGTCTGGATATTGGTATTTTCGAGTTTAGGATAATCGTACCTATCGATTTGATACAGTTTTGGCCGTATTGCTATGAGACAAAAATTTCGGTCGTTGTCTCTCGTACTAATCGTTTCCACCATTAACACGACGGCGAAATCGGCGTCAATCTTAAGACCAGCAATATTACAAAAAATGCTCATATCTGTCTATAGTATACGGGTCAGGGTCAGCAACTTGCCCTAGACAATTTATCTTTGCTTGCTAATCAAAAACTTAATATACCTATATATCTATATAAATAAAAATGAATTTCCGTTCGTTAGTCTCGTTAAAACTCGATAACGGCTGAACTGATTTGGCTAATTTAGGTCTAGAAATGTTCATAGAAGTCCAAACTTTATGTTGCCTGTTGCCCTAAACTTGTCTATATGAAACCAGGGCGACAACCAATATACTAGATGTTTCGAAGAAGTTTACCGAAGCCTGGTTATGTAAAAGACACCAAATGTCAACTTTGGAGAGATGCCTAAAAAGGAAAATGACCGAAGTTTTGGGTGAAACACTACCACTGACACCTCTGGTCCAAGTGGTACTCAAAAAAACGTTTGTGATTATAAAAACGGCGTATGATAAGGGTCCAATGCAAAAAGTATATCTGCACGGATCATCGTAGCCTCGCTATGTTGCCGCTACATTACTGCTTTATTTCTTCTGTAACTTCAGATTTGTTAAAAATATGGTTTATTATTTTGGAAAAAATTTAAATACCGTGCACCATTCAGCCTAGCTGGCATTTCATGCAGCACCAACTGCTGGCCACTTATACCAGCCCACATGTTAATACCAAACAGGTGCTGGAATCGATCATTTCAAATGATATGGGGGTTCACTCTGGAGTAAAAATGTAGATTGTGGATATTAAATAGGGAGTATTTAAAATCCACAATCTTCTAAAAGTTAACTCATCCGTCCATGAAACCTTGTTGAAGAACTGCAGATTTTCTCTGTATCTTATCATCTCTCTGTAAAACCGCACTCTAGGTTCATAGTCACCGGTCAGCCTAGTGACCTTGCTACGAAAAATCGTCCTTGAAAGATATTCGATCCACTCATGTGTAATAATCCGTTTTCAGAATCCCTATTAAATGCGCCAAAACTTGTAATACTAAACTACTAAAAAACTAAAAGGTTATGATTTGAGGAAAATAAAAACGGTACAACTTAATATTATCTTCAACACACCCAATAAACAACCATAAATAGCATGTCTAAAGTAAGGACTCATCAGTACCAATCTAGTGAAAATTATAAAAAAGATAATAGGATGTAGATTTTTTCGAATTTTTATAAGAATTGGTTAAGAAAAGTCCATTTTTCATAAAACACGAAATAAATTATAACTCTGCAGGGGTTGACCTTAAGGACCTCCGGTAGAACAACCTTTTGCAGCTGATGACCCCATCTAACCCCTAGTTGCGTTTGATCCACGACTTTTGGACCACCCTGTAAGGCGACACATACCGTCAATTCGTAAAAGAGTGATTGACAAAAATGGTAAGAAACACTATTAATGCAAACGTCGACCTGAAATAGACTTTTGGACAACTTTTCTAATAATAATACATAATTATAATCCAATATTTTAATATATTTACATATTGCGAATGTTCAGGGACATATTATATCTTCGATAACGTACTAATTGACAATGTATATAGAGGTAGTACTGAGTGTCAGAATCAGAATCTAGTACAAACGCACAAACGAATCTTGGTAGAAAAATCGATTATAATGAAAATGAAAATAAACATTAAAACATCGGTGAAAACTTCGAACAATTTAAGCTAACAAATGGCCACTTTTCAACGGATACTACTGATGTGACTTTTAGTTATTTTTCACAGATAACTAGAGAAAAGAATATTTTATTTGCGAGCGAAACTTATCATTTCCAAGAAACAAGACTATTTTTTTGGAAGCATACTTTATGGAATATTTTTTTATGGTAACGGAGTTTAAGGTAATTGGACACGTTAAAAGGATACCTCTGTAGTTTTATCACAAACAGACAGAGAATGATTGATGAATTGATAAGTTTTTAAAATTCATCCAGAATTTAAGGCTGATGAAGTCGTAATGGCTATGATTAGAAAAATAGCCCACTATGGGGACACACTAGTATGCAATCGTTTATGTAATACGTATAAGATTGTACGTGTGAGGTGTCTATTTACATTATTCCTTAAACCCAAACAACTAAATGGTTATTATATAAATGGTTTTTCTTTCTTTTCTTTCTTTCTTTCTAACTGTGACCAGTCGATGAAATTATAATATATATATACGTATGAGAGATAACACATTCCTTAGTTAGCCGCGTGTCAGTTGCGATAAATTACATAATCTAATCGTATGTATATATGACCTTGTGTGTGGAACAATATATATTTCATAGCAGAGCTCAGTTTTTCATTGACTCATTAATAAAGACAGCTACAACCGTAAAATTTACACTCACCAACAAACAATAGAAGGAAAAATAAACATCAATTTGTATAAGTGATGAATGACAAAAATATCTAGAAGCAATATTTGTACTAACGTTCTTCTGAAATAGACTTAGCTAACTACTTTTCTGATAATGACTTAACGTATATATATATTTTACATATCTTGAAATAGGTATTTTAAAATCTTTTTTATAATAAAATATTTAAAAATGCATATATATGGAAAATGATTAAAACGAATAATAATATAACCCATATGAATATATTGTGAGTGTTTAGCGACATATATCTTCAATAACAAACGAAAAGACGATGTCAAATGTTGTCCACTTAAAAAAGTCATTTGCAAAATATTACTCTACTAAATAAATCTGCGCAAGAGACAACAAGAAGACAGCACCAAAATTAATCAACTGTGTTATAAACTGTAATACGCCCTAAAGTAACCACATTAGAAACTATACCTAGAGAACTGAAAAAGAAAAATTCTGCCGAGATCGGCAATCAATACATAGATATATATGAACATTTGTTATATAAGGAAAACCTTTAAGACTTGTCTCTTTCCTGTAAAAACCATAATATGTAATTAGCAATCGTATCAGGCCATAGATAATAATAATAATAAATAGATATTTTGTTTACTGGACTAACTGGTATTTACGGCATTCAAATATAAAGCCAGTCTGTGTAAGGATAAATGAATTACACTTCAATATTCTATGAAACGAAGATTAAAAAAAAATCAACGACTTTGACTATGTTGACTTTGAGGAAGAAATTCAATTGGGTTGTGTTTATGAATGCTCAGAAGCGTTTGTTTAGTTGGTGGCAGGGTTTAACAATTTCAAGTACCTGTTGGACTGGCCGAGCATTTGCCTCGCGAGGCTGCTGGGTCAGTCAGCACGCGGCTAATAACGAGAGTGAATGCATTTTTTGAGGCAAACGATGGGAGTGCTAAGACGACCATCGTTACCATGTAACAAAAAGCTCAAAATGTATGTATGATTGCCTAACTATCCTGCATAACTGAAAGAAAATGAAAATTTTAATGTAAAGATTAAATAAACCACTTAGTGGCAACTAAGTATTTATTTCAATAAAACAAGCTAAAAAAATATGTTTAAAACATTTTGGTTTTACAATTAAACGGACTTCTAAATATTATTGTAAAATTGTACCTATTTATATCTTGAAACTTATGTATATTGCTTACAAAACTTTTTCATACTAAATATTGTGAACAAAAGAGGCTTGTGTAGGTTTCCTGCACACGTTTGAGAAGATACCACGACGACTCGGAGCAACTTACTGGAATAAAAGAGAATACACACGTTATCACATCATAGTACAACAAAGTCGCTATTCGCCGTCTGTCTGTCCCTATGTCTGCTTAGATCTTTAAAATTACTCAACGGAATTGGATACGGTTTCATTTAATAGATAGAATGATTCTTATGGAAGGTTTGTTGTTATATATGCATATTGCACCCGTGCGAAGCCCGGACGGGTCGCTAGTTTTGTAATAAGATAATGAACAAAAATACATCTACTTTTTACTACAATCATTTACACATTTTAATCCGACCAAAGAAGTACTTTTAACATGAAAAAAAAAAAATTAAAACTATCAAGACCGACTGAAAGGCTACTCAATTTTAAGTTGTAGTATATAGTTGTAAATATCGTGCCATCTTTGTGATTATAGATTTATATTTTTATTACATTATAGATATATATTACAATATATATAATATATAGATTTATATTACATTATAGATATAGAACAACTTAAAATTAAGTAGCCTTTCAGTATTCGGGGGTCAGTCTGTCAGTCATCTAGCGTAGTAAAGTATTTGCTTTCCAAGGCGTAGATTCGTATGGAAAAGAACGAGCAATAAACTCCACATAGGCCTTAAAACAGCTCCTCAATAACTTTGTGATATTCGCTACCAACAACCCAGGAAAGTTTTCCAGATTTCCCCTCCAAAAGAAGGTCGGTGACCAATTTGTTCTACTCTATTGTCACCACATGGGACTACATAACATTATTGGTAGGTAATTAGTTTGTGCACCATTGGTCTTGTTCCAGTTGTGCAGTCTCCTAATGTAGTGCAGGCTTTGAGTCATTCTGTCTTCTGTATATTAAATTTACCGAAAGAAGTGGAAACTATCTTACTCATCTCAAATATATCGTGATTTATTGTGTAAGTGCAAGCAATCATTTTATTTACTAAATGTTATCTGGTGTAGATCCTCCCACGACTGCAATTCTGGCTTGTCCCATTAAGAATCCATCATGGTAAGGAGTAAGTAAAAGGTGCATGGATAATCCATTACGATAGTAATAGGTGTAGTGTACAACAGATAATAAGATTAATAAGTAAAAATATCGAACTTACTGTCATTAAGTCAAATAACAGCATTGGTACTTGTAGGTAACCCAAAACTGCGACGAAGGTGATAGCAGCCGCAGTACCCGCAGCCACTTTATGTTCTTTTTTCCAATTACCAAACTTCAAACTTTTAACGAAATCCAGTGGACGTCCTGACGATTCCGATCGTCTGGAAAATAAATAATATTCCTTACACGAGCACCAAGCTTCATTGACGGATTTATTGGCAGCCTATTATTTATATTTCATGTTAATTGTTGACGTTTCAAAAGTACCAAATTATGGTTTAACTGAAATAAATCCGTTTCGAGTTTTCATATAATTTTTGTTATGATAAAATTTTGTATTACTGGAGCAGGTTTAAAATGTTTAAGTAAAAAGAACAAACACAATTTTCTACGTGGCCGATACCCCAGATAGAGGTAAGTGCGCGTGAATCCCGGCAGTGGGCGCACTGGGCCCGCATCGCAGTATCGAGTAGCCAGTAACAGCGCAACAGTCAACCCGTCGCGGGTCGCGGAATGCTGCTCATGCATGAGTACATGGCTTGAAACTAGTCAAGTCCCGCGTCAAATAACATAACATCACGCCTTTTATCCTCGAAGTGATACGCAGAGGTGCACATGCCACTATACAATCAAATGTAACACCCACTTTTCACTATTTATGTTATGAGTTACCCTGTAATAGGGGGTGAGCCTATTGTCATATACCAGGCACAGTTTCAGACTCCGTGCTACTACTAGAATTAAAAAAAACCAGTAATACTTTGCCCGACCCGGGAATCGAACCCGAGACCCCTTGCCCGGCAGTCGCAATTGCGACCACAGGCGAATAATTGCGAGAGTAAGCCGAAAAACATCATAATTAATTTGGTATGTCTCACGAAAGTTATAATAGAAATATAGAAATACAGATATACCCACGTTGGCTCCGGTAATGGTGCTGGCGGCTCCCTTCCAAGTCCCACCGGCATCAACACTGCTCTATCCCTCGGCAACAAAGTCAGCTCTAAGTCTATCGATCCCTGAATATGAAAAAGCAGTATTTTATACAGGGTAACTTGTAACTCGATGTATACCTCTCGGGAGGTGATAATATAACTGATTTCCTACAAAAATAGTCCGAGGTCTCTGGTCAGAAAGTGGCTAGTTTCTGAGATATTCAATATTTTCGGTTTTCGTGATAAAATCCCGATCGAACTACAAAAAACATCAATAACTAAAAAACCCCTGGGTTGATTGACGATTGCGATTGGTCGCAGGAATCCTATTGGGAGAAAAGTCTTGGAGAATGAGGTGATTTCAACAGTTATTCGTCGAAGTGAGTGATTCAATAGTATTTCTGAAATTACACAAAAAGATAACTTGGTTTCTAGGAAGCCAAATTTCACCAAATTCTCAGTTAAGCCTTGATAGCTCTTACATATAAGGCTAATTTCATTTAGGTAACATCTGGACCCAGGAATCTATGTAGCGATTCCCTTCTCCTTTGACCAAAAGAAAACTGCATTTAGTTTAAAAAATTCATATTACACTAAGCATACAAACTATTAGAAAAAATTCCTTAGTTTATTAGCTACCCAAGAACATTAAATTATTTATACAATTCTCAAAAATGAAGTAATAACTTGATGATAAAGTGCAAAAAATTATTATTAAAAAAACAAAATACCCGACTGCACACTAAAAAAAGAGTAAAACAAGCCCCACAATAATATTGATCAATCAAATGCTAAAAACTAATTATGTAATACCGTTTAAACAATACCTATATTAAAATACACTACAATATGTGTTCGTAATCGATAGTTAAATAAACAGAAACTTATTTTGAATACAAATTTACTGAATATAATTTATAAATGTTGATGGAATGCATCGCAGGCGGGGACCAACAGAGGCTTATTTATAGTCATTTCGGTTGTGCACCATTTAGCAGAATTTTCGTTGGTGGCGGTCAAGGTGGTCCCCGCCTGCGATGCTTTCCATCAACATTTATAAATTATATTCAGTAAATTTGTATTCAAAATAAGTTTCTGTTTATTTAACTATCGATTACGAACACATATTGTAGTGTATTTTAATATAGGTATTGTTTAAACGGTATTACATAATTAGTTTTTAGCATTTGATTGATCAATATTATTGTGGGGCTTGTTTTACTCTTTTTTTAGTGTGCAGTCGGGTATTTTGTTTTTTTAATAATAATTTTTTTATTTATAACTTTTTAGCTGTTTTTATTTCGATATATACAAATAGGGATATATCGAATAAAATCGCTATTTAGAGACGACCGTCAACGACGTGTGCCCTCATGCGTGTGCCCGCAATCGGGCTGTATACTCGAGCATATCCCCCTCCGCACCGCGCCGCGCGCCGCATGCCAGGCCACGCCCTATCTTTTTGCTTGCTAACGCATGAGTTGCTTTGCGTTGACGCAGAATTAACATGTTCCCGTGGGAATTTTGAGAAAAAACGTATCCTATATTAATTACTCCCGTGATTGAAATGAATCTAATGATACCGCATACATATTTTTTTAAAGGGAAATTTAGAAAAAATATTATTATGTCTTTATCCCGTGGGACTTTTAGGATAAAATGTATCCTATGACACTCCCGTAATCAAGACAAATCTAACGATACCTCATACATCAAAATCCATCAAGCCGTTTAGGCTACAGGTGGTCACAAAGGAAAAGACATACATACATACTTACATACCCTCCTTCTTTGGCAGTCGGGTAAAAAGAAAACACGCAATTTCAAAAACATAATTAATTACAAAATTTTGTTCAAAGTGACCTTCCCGCTGATGAATTCATGCTCGCAAACGCTTCCTTATCTCTGTGACGGTCAGTTGAACTGAATGAGCTTCTCCGAGAGAAATACCGCTCCTTCTTTTCCCGTGGGTGTCGCAAGAGATGACTAAATGACTAACCATTTGATAGAGATCTACATACTTGAACTGTCACCTCCGCCTGGCACGCGTGAACATAGAACATATGGAAACCTCTTGTATGAAAATTACGGCAATTGTCGAGCAGTGGACTACGGGTTGTTACTGACATGTGATGTGAATTTCAAAATATCATATACGTTTACAAAATGTCCACATGCACTTTCTATCTTTGAACTGCTCACTATTGACAGGGAGTTCACGCTCACCCGTTATAGCCCAAATGGTTTCGTATAGTTCGGTTTCAGATGAATTTCCTCCCACGGACCCTCCGATTGGAAAATGAACTCTTTGACAGATTTTACCAGAGAGCTACAATAATGGGTTCTATAAATGGGAGAGGGAATTAATAGGTTTTTAAGTGGCGACATGGCGCATGTAATGCCCCAATTGTTACAAGCGTTCCTAAGCCACGGTAACCAACTACCGTCAGGCGGGGCATGTGCATTTTTGTCACATCAGCAAATCTAAGCGACATAAGACTTACAGCGGCTATAGTCATGCCAGTGTTACGATTGGTGTACACGAGAGGCCACCATCCTCGGACTGTTGTGGCCGTAAACAGATTAATCTTTTTATTTTTGTCCCATTCCTCCATTATGCACTTGTTAGGTTGCTTCATGCCCTTCGACATTGAGTTCAAATTGAAGGATACTGATGCTGAAATATAAAAAGCCAGCTCTTGAAACTGTCCAATTATCATAAGCTTACAGAAATATGGCTTTAACACTAACTATACAGCCTAAATTGGTTGTTTTAATTAAAACATTGCTCCACAAACATAGAAATTCACATACACATCACACCCAGACCCAGAACAACAATCTATGGATCACACAAAGAGTTATTCCGTGCGAGAATTGAACCCGCGACACGTTGCGCGGCAGCCAGTTTCCCAGCCACCGCACCAACCGTGCAATCGATATTTGTATTGTAGCTAATCAAATAAAAATGTCTTTTTATGTAGTTTTAAAACGTACCCAAGAAATCATCTTGTGATAAAGCGTCGCTGTCTAAAACTTGTACTACAAATATTGGTGTCATGTGTTCCTCTACTTCTGTAAACGGCCCCTTCTCTTTTCTCACCAACTGCAATACACAACATACAAGCAATTTAACATAGGTACTTCATATGTATTGATTAGACGTATTGTAAAAAGGATGTATGACTGGTCTCGGGCCAGAGTTCACGAAAATAGTAAAAAGAAAAGTCTCAGATCGTTAATTAATAGTCAAAACTAAATTACCGGTTCAGAAATATTAATTTCCTGATAAGTAATTAGTTTATGAGAGTAAAATTATAAACGAGAAGAATCGATCCAGAAATATTCAATTTCCATATCGAATAATTTCGCACCGTCACTGTTTAGTACCTACTTGTCATAACGTTGCAACACTGAAATTGTCAAATCTGGAATCAAATTCCGAGTATAGTGCCGTTCATTTATTCGATTTTCGTAATCTAACACTACCATAGAAATAGTGAGCTGAGTACCATACCATAAATCAGGTCAGGTTATAACATCGTTAGTATTTGAATTTAATTATATTACAAGGCTTAATTATAACTCTTTGATAAGATTGCGTAGTCGGTTCAGTTAGTGCACTTTATCACTTTACTTTTACTTTTTTGAGTGGGTATACTGCCCATGATTAAACTACATATAAGCCAGTCTTGAAACCTCGTCGAATAGTGATGTAAGTAAGCCCTATTAAATCCTATAAGTACCTTTTTCTCCGCGTGGTGATACTGGAAATGAAATATCATACGCCAGTTGAAACTTCCTTCTCCTGATGAACTGCTGTAGTGAACATCAGTGTACTGAGCCTGTTCTATGGTATCTATCCAGCTGAAAACAAAAACAGACGTAAAATCACTAGATGTCCTTTAGACTCTACTATTTTTTTCCGCAACAGTAGAATTAAAGTTTTTAAATAGACATTATATAATTTTAACATCATGGGAGTACACTCCCATTAGAATTCAAAACAAAAACCTTCGATCAACAATAACAACTAGATAAAGGGTTACGTACAAAATCAAGCTCCAGTTCAGTCCGCGTTAATAATAATAGTAAAAAATAACAAACAGAGAAAAATGTTTTAAAATAGTTTTAAGTTCAACCTAATAACAACCATGGCACCTAATAATATAGTCATAAATCGTCAAAATATTATCTAATAGTTACGACCATTTGTCACATAAGACGAGAAAAGTATTTTCTTACTCCTGTCATGTAGAAATTAAAAGACATAAGTTATACACTATCTAGTTTGAATTCAACCTTAAGCTTGAACAAATAAAGATAATTTTTCCATTATTGTCTTGCGATCTATATCGTTTTGTTTTGTTTCGATTTGCTTCTTCAAATTTCGAATTTCGCTATAGGAGGTATGTATGGAGTCGCGTTGGACACTAAAATAATTTTATAATATGTAAATTAAGATTTCGGGATCTTAGTATACATCACTTATTTTTATTATCGGTACGTTTTTGTGTATGATATGTTTATTTACTTTATCCTTAAAAGTCTAAGTCAAAATCATTTATTTCAGTTAGACCAGGAAGGCACTTTTGAACGTCAACAATATAAATTTAAAAGTGAAGCTATTTTCTCATTATAAGGTGTAGATTCCTATGGAGAAGAACGAGCAATAAACTCCATAGGTTAGATACTCTTTTCCAATCAGGTTACAATACAATTTTATTTTACAATACAAATGGACTCCATGCATCCACTGTTCTGTTTAAACAAATGTTTGTGCGCGTGTTGGCGAGGCTTGGCCAAGTATCGCCAACACACGCACAAACACTGGTGGCGTTGGTTGATAATTGGTAATTTTATCTAATTTGATATTATTTCCTAGTTAAAAAGCTTAAAATATAACTTATACTTTATGTGCTTATCAAAAGTAAGACACTCCGGGCGTTACACTGCTTTTTCGGTCATTATTTTTGCAACTTGCAATTACAAACTGCGGCATCGTGAGACGTGAGTACGTTGGCCGTGTTTGGAGCATACTAAACAAAATAAGAGCTCACTTCTCAAGTGAGCTCTTATTTGTCGAGACGATTTTCTTGCGCCAACCCGATATCTAGTTGTTATTGTTGATCGAAGACAAAAACACAAGGTTATTATCTTAGGTATAACTTTCGTGACACATGCTGAATTAATTATTATGTTTTCAGCCTCTATCATGGCTTGTAACTAGTCGAATTCCTCGTCAAACAGTGAGTAAGCTGAAAACATAACTTATTAAAACAAATGGGTCGAATAATCTCGTACATTATCAACCACCAACATGCATTTAACACCGAAAAGGGAGAAAAACAATATGGTTAAATCAGTGAGACTGCCATCCAAATATTCAAACGCCACCAAATTCTAAGACGCGCTTAAGTATAGTTATATCACTACAAATTTGTAAAGTTGAGTAGCCTATCAGTATTCGGACCTGAACCTACACCTGGTAGCGTATTATGACGTCTCAAAGCCAGAGTGGTTATGCTGAGGAAACGAGATCTCGTTAGACGACTTGAATAGCTCTGTTTCTTTCGCTCAATGGAACCATTCTGACTTTAGGATGTCATAATAACCTCGCTGGTGCGGACTCTGTACCAATGAACTGTTGGAAAAACAGAAGATTACATATACAATTATCACACAGTATACTAACGCTCTAACGTAGATATCGGATACTTTTTTTCCGTGGTCATCCAGCCTAAGTCCCTGCACGTCCCATATAATGACGCGAAGTTCATACTCCTCCAGTTTACGAGGAGTGATGTCCACACCCGGCGGTATGTACATGTCCGCGTCTAGAGGAAAAATGTCAACCCACATTTGCAGTTTACCCTGAAAATTGAGAAGATTACAGCGATAAATTATTATTGCTATAAGAACACATGGACTGACTGTCCGACAAACGGTAAAAGTAAACATCTCGAGGAAACCTGGGCTTTAAGGCCAATTTCTAATTATAAGTTTGAAATTGCCAACCCACATTGATCAAGCGTGTTGCATGATGCTCAAACCCTCTCCGTGGGAGAAGAGGCCTTTCAAAGTCAAAAGTCAAAGCATTTATTTCAATTAATCCATAATTTAGTACTTTTGAAACGTCAACAAATACAAAATAAATAATAGTCTGTCAGTCAGTCCGTCAGTGAAGCTAGGCGAAGTTAGGTGCTTTGGGTCAGTAGTAGCAGATTTTGGAAATCCAAGGTGGTTTGAGGACTACCAACTGGTTAAAAAATATAGGTGCCGATGTCCACAGCGCGGCCGATGGTCACAGTTCTAGGCCATAGTAGACCGTAGTAGGTCCATAGTACCTGTTACCTGGTGGTTACCTGTTCTAATCCATTTTTGGCTGAGTTTATCAGAGACCGACATTCCACATGTTCGGGCACTAATCGGTATCCACAAATGGGCAGTGTGTGCCAACTGTGCAGTAAACTTAGACAAATGTTCTCTCTGCGATCTGATGCTGTTCGAAAGGTTCTCCCTGGAAGAACATGGACATTTTGTAATTTATAAGTGTTAGTTACTTAATACTTATTGAAAATAACTTAAAATCACTAAGTTGAAATCAAAGTGGTACACTCTTCTTTTTATTTTCAGAATAGGATATAATAGAATATCGTATCAAAAAATTTGCAAAGGGTAACTTATTTTTACGCTGCTGCTTAAAAAATCCATAGCTATAGTTTATAAATAATAGCATGAAACAGCGATAACCAGTATTTGAAGGCCTTACCATTGTCATTGTCTCTGTACTCTACACCGTTGACGACCACCGTAGCGTTGTCAGGAAATATCGGAGGAGCCAAATGGTTCTTTGCACAAAGATCTTCAAGTATTACAGAGGGCTTTTGACAGTCTCGCCATTTATTTGGTCCAATCCTGGAAAATAGAGAATTTCTAACTAAAATCAATGCAGTTGGCAAAGAGGTACGTAATTACAGTAAGCAGAGCACCTAAAATAAAAGTGAATAAGAAAACTGACTTGACTGCCTCGTTGGCCGAGTGGTCGCAAGTGCAACTGCCAGGCATGGGGTCTCGAGTTCGATTCCCGGGTCGGACAAAGTATCACTGGGGTTTTTAAAAATTCTCAGTAGTAGCACGGAGTCTGGAAATGTGCCCGGTATATAGCAATAGGCTCACCCCCTATTACATGGGACTCACAACATGAATAGTAAAAAGTAGGTGTCACATTGTACAGTGTCATAATGTACACCTCTGCCTACCCCTTTGGGGATAAGAGAAGTCATATTATTATTATTATGAATAAGAGAAAACGTGTACTTATTCCACGTAGGTGTACCAACTGAGGAACGACTGACTGACCAAGGAAATAAAAAACTTTATCACAAAGACAATCGATTCGACACTGTTAATTACTACATTTCCATATGAGCACAACTACGAAATGAGTATAAACTTACACATTATATTCAGAAGATAAGCCAACCCTAGCCCGATGTTTGGAGTATATCCTGTCTTCTAAGTCAATGGTAGTAGAACCTATCAGCTCATCTGGTGGTACAGCATCGTAGTCATATAAGGATACAGTCAGCAGGTAGTCATCAGGTAAGGTGCATCGAAATTCATACATTCTGGAATATCGATAGTGAAATCGCTTGTAATAATTGGTTAACATAACTTATTCAGATAATTCTTAATATAGCCACTGCCTCGTTGGCCAAATGGTCGCAAGTGAGACTGCTAGGCTCGGGTTCGATTCCCGGGTCGGATAAAGTGTTACTGGATTTTTAAAGAGTCTGGGAATGTGCCCAGTATATAGCAATAGGCTCACCCCTTATTACATGGGCCTCATAACATAAATAGTGAAAAGTGGGTGTTTATGCCACTGTACAATGGTACAGTGGCATAAAGTGCCGTAATGCGCACCTCTGTCTACCCCTTCGGGGATAAAAGGCATGATGTTATGTTATGTTCTTAATATGGTCAGTAATTCAGCTAAACAACGAAAAGCCATCAAAATCCTGCATTGTAGTGGTAATGGTGTTATTTTATTACTTTTTCCTGTGTCGTGGGTCCGTTTACAAACATACAATATCACATACACATAACGACCTGAAAAACAATTTGTGGATCACACAAAGAGTTGTTCCGTGTGGGAATCGAACCCGCTACATGTTGCGCGGCAGCCCGTTGCCCAGCCGCCACGCCAACCGTGCCGTCAATTAATATTTACTAGTCGTGTGCTTAATAGTTCGCGACTGAGATCACTCAGATCAGTTCGCCGCTCCTAAACGAACTATTTCGCTCTTTTAGTTCGTCAGCTTCCGACTCGCAGTTGGAGTTGGAATTGGAATGAATCGTATAGGAACTAGGAAGGCACTGGCAGCTAAATCGCTCCCTAGTTCGTCAGCTCCCGACTCCCAGTTGGATTTGGAATTGGAATGAATCGGATACGAACTAGGAAGGCACTGGCAGCCAAATCGCTCCCTAGTTCGTCAGCTCCCGACTCAGCTCATGACTTTTCAAGTGAGATCATATGTTATCGCATTTTTTAGTTCGGTCTTCACCATAGACTATACATATAAACGACTTCACAATCCTTGTACTTGTACTTTGAAATACGAACTAAGGAACTAAGGAGCTAGGAATGACGTGAACTAGTTCGCATATTTTGAATGTGGGAGCGCTCTTTTGAACTAGTTCGTTCGCGAACTACACAAGCCTAATATTTACCTCTAACATTGTTTTATACCTACACCTTATACTTATACTTAGCCAGAAAATCAATGGAGAAAGAGTCACTTACTTTCCAAAAATAGGGTTCAAAGTATTTTTTACGTGATTTTTTCTATCTCCTAAATGCTTGCTGCCACAGCTGATGGCTACATAAGGGTCCAGTTTACCAGAGAACGCTTTTGCTACTAAGTTTACACCTTTGACAACGTATACTCGTACTAGAAACTTCGACGGCTCGTTAGTTGGATAGTCCGTAAAATAACTGAAAATTAGAATATTGAGATTAGCGTGCACTTGTCAGTATTGATTATTAGAACTGTATTTTTCACTTATTTATTCAGTCCCGTTTTCAAATTGTCTCTTCTAATATATTTATTTGATTTTATGTTTTAATTGTTTTTTTTGTAATGTGATGTTTCTTTATGTGCTTTTTCTTCTTTTTCTGTTATTTTAACTGTTTGATTCTGTTTGATTTGTCTTTGTGTGTGTTAATGAAATTAGTGTAAAGCCGTGTTAACATCACAATAATCTATCTAGGTATATCTATACATATAATAAAATTGTAGAAAAGTGCTGTCTGTACATTGAAAATAAAAATAAAAAAAATAGCAGGGGCTATTGTTATGTTGATGTTGAACCCAAAAATGTAACTAACTTTTTTTTTGTCTGTTTGTCTGTTTGTCTGTTCACGCTAATCTCAGAAACGGCTTATCCGAGTTGGATGCGGTTTTCACGAATATATTGTGGTCTGCTTCAGTTATGCTTTAGTGTTTGTTTCATGTCAATCGGTTCATAAATAAAAAAGTTACATCAAATTAAAGAATCACGTCGAACACTATCTATCTATCTATCTATCTATCTATCTATACATATAATAAAATTGTAGAAAAGTGCTGTCTGTACATTGAAAATAAAAATAAAAAAAATAGCAGGGGCTATTGTTATGTCGATGTCGAACCCAAAAATGTAACTAACTTTTTTTTTGTCTGTTTGTCTGTTTGTCTGTTCACGCTAATCTCAGAGCTATCTATCTATCTATCTATCTATACATATAATAAAATTGTAGAAAAGTGCTGTCTGTCTGTCGGTGCGGAAAAGGTGATAGTGGTTTTATTCCTCAGATTCCTCTCATTCCAAAAAATTTTCCGTTTAATTTTAAACGAATTCAGTTTCCAGTGAGCCTATGTTTCGCCATGACAATTAATAAAGCTCAAGGTCAGACTCTAAAAGTTGTGGGTATAGATCTAAGTATCAGCTGTTTTTCGCACGGTCAATTGTATGTGGCTCTGTCCCGTGTTAGCAATCCCAGCAGCCTGTATGCTTTCACCCCCGATGGCCATACGTCTAATATTGTATATAGAGAAGCATTACAGTAAAGTAGGTTTTTTAGCTACCCAAAATGACTGTGATTATGATCCAAATCTAAAATAAAGATAAGTGTATATTTAAAAAGAAACGCTGCTCATAGTCACTATTCTACGCGAACGAAGTCGCGGGCACAGCTAGTAATTATATAAAAATGAAACCCGTTTCGCGTTGTCACGGCATCACGTGTAAACGGCTGAATCGATTTCGATCATTCTTTTTTTAAAATGTTTGTGAAAGTCCAAGGATGGTTCTTACGGAAAAAAATATTAAGAAAAAATCTTTCATAAATATTGAAATATAATTATACATTTAATTTTGCATATTTAAAAAAACGCGCGTAACGAATGTCAACATGATTCACAGCCATAGACTGTATTGCAAGAGTATTGTTTGTTCAGACCCGTGGTTACTTAACTAAATTCTATTGCACTAATTTTTTATTTTTAAAAATAACTCGCTACGGAATAGTAAACCTATACAAATTTCGCATAACATATTTAGTAATCTGTGTTAGTATCTGTTTCCTTAACTTGACATTGGCGAATCGATGAACAGCCAAGCAAATAAAAAAAAACTGTGATAATCTGTGGCATCACATCCATAACCGCGCTAACAATAATTTTAATAAGTTTTTGATTATGTTTGTTTTGTTTTAGAGACCAAGAAATTTTTTATTTGTTAATTACGGTAAGTTGACAGCTTCATATCAATTTTTGGTAACTTTTCGTGACTACATAATATTACAATTTGGTATACATGGTTATACAGAAAATATATAAGAGCTTTTTATTTTCAGTTGGATTTTCGTTCTTAACAATGCCACCAACCAGACGTACATGGTAATATATATTTTGTTTTTTATTTAATGAAATTAGTAGTCCTTCTCTGGTATGGCGAGACCAGGGAAATAGGGAATCATTTTATATGGGGGATATTATAGATTCCAGTTTAAATTGAATGGGTAGAATACCTAATATAGGTCAAGTATACAAAATAAAATAGTGCATCAAAGCTACGCTAAGGTGGTACGAAGTTCGCTGGATCAGCTAGTAATAAATAAATAAATTCAGTAACGTTTTTAAGCTCCTACTTCTAAGCCACGCATTTACGTCCATACGTATTAGCGTTGGGCTAGAAACGCAGACGGATTGAGTCTGTTCGAAAACCTTCATAAAAACTAATTTATATCTTACCCATTGCTTAAATCAACTCCATTGTAACTGACTGCGACCGTATCGGGGGGTGGTGGCCACCTATAAATGGCGATACCGGCCTTCAAGAATCCGCAGTACAACTGATCATCCTTCTCAGGTATACCCGTTTTTTTGCCGTTGTAAAGCTTTAGGGTTGTACACCAGTCCTTGAACTTGCCAAACTCCGGCTGAGCCTCTAACTCTCCTCCGTACATCTGGAATAGATTGATCAACAATACATTAATAAAATTTCTGAATATCAACAGATCATACTATGGATAATGTATTATTTCCTGCAATAGCTAAGAAAAGGGCGACACCATGATTATGAACTAGTGGGATTTACAACTTACGCCCGAATACTGAAAGGTTATTCAAATTTTAAGTTGTATGTAAATATCGTGCCATCTCTGTCATTCTATAAGGAATTTGTGGTAACAGAACAGTGTAGTATTCAGCGCGACTTAAAATTGAGAGTAGTTTGAGTATTTCAGCGTTAGCTGGCAATAATCGTTTGAGAAACCACAAGGATAATGTGCGAAGTACGAGAAATGTAAAAACATAACATAACATCACGCCTTTTATCCCTGAAGGGGTAGGCAGAGGCGCACATTACGGCACTTAATGCCACTGTACAATGTCACCACCCACTTTTCACTATTTATGTTATGAGTCCCATGTAATAGTGGGTAAGCCTATTGCCATATACCGGGCACAATGCCAGACTCCGTGCTACTAATGAGATTTTTTTTAAAAAACCAGTAATAATTTGCCCGCGGGAATTGAACCCGAGACCCCCTGCCCGGCAGTCAAATGTAAAAAACTAACAAAAACATTACTTACAACAATTTTATCAGTTATTTGTGTGTCATCCATATTGTCCTGGAATATAATAACACTACAATTATTACTATGAAAGAAGAATGTTCAAAAATTTAAAGAGTAAAAACACAGAATCAAACAAATATATGTGTGACATGGTAACCAAAATTCGATTATTGTTTTCGATTAATCGCATTGTACGATCTTTCTGCAGATTCATGGCAGTATTTGGTCATTAAAATCAGATTATTAATTGGGTCTAGTTCCAGTCAACAAGTCCAAAATGATAAGTATAATTTTCATCATTTGATCATTATGATGCCATCATCAAGCCTACATAACTTGAATACTGCAGTTCAACTAGGCGAAAGGAAGTAGAGTAGACCAATTTGAATTTGTATAATATTACGAACGGAAAACGTAACATGTATTGACATTTCGAGTAAAATAAAAATTCATATCTTTATAACAATAAAACCTACCTCCATCGTAGCGTAATATCTCATCCACCAATCCTTATGATCAGGATTTTCAGAAGAAATATTCTTTAGTAATTTCGACTGGTTATTTTCTTTGGAAAACATTGGCAGGAGAACGTATTCTTCTTCGTCTACTTCTTTGCTACAAAATACTCGTTTCCATCGAGATCTCTTTGTTTCGTGGATACTTTGCAATGACAATTTACTGCCCAAGTCCACAGACGAAGGTAAAGAACTTTTCTTTATGTAAAGTATTTGACTTACTGAAAATGTTGGAGAACATTGCGTTTAGCACAAATGTGGTTTACGACCCACATACATAAATATTAACCTCTGGAAAGAAGGTTCGCCGAAAATAATGGCACATAAATGGTTTTCTAGGTGTGCTAAAGTTACGCCGACGCCCGTTACTGGTGGGCTACTGCTTTTTATATTTTTAAACGTTTTTTTTAATATTTATTTATTCAAATATTAAAAATATACTAACCACGTAAAGAAAATAAATACAGAGATAACAATAGAAAGTAAAAAATACCTTGAAAAAAACTAGAAGCTGTTATAGACACACTTTTTAACGACGCATCTCTTTCACCTTGGGGTAGCCAGGTTACTATGTACTTATTTGGATTTTTCACAATATTTGTCCCTAAGAATAATGTTCTCCCGAAGGTGCTACTGTCATATAATCTGATGCTCAATGGTGGACAGTACACCTCGTTCAAAGGAGCTTGAAAAGTCTGTGAGGACCGTCCATTGGGAAAGTTGCAGTTGGACTTCTTGTCACATACAACATCAGACTTTATCGTCAGTTCATCTATTTCAAGAACAACACACGGTTTCCTTGTAGTTGTGACGTCACGTAACCCCCACCAATAGATGTCTACTCTGAAATGTAAGAAAATATGTGTTAATTTTTATGAGTTGCACCATCCATTACAAAAATCTATCAACTACACCTAATAATTCTTATGAATTGTTCGTAAATGAAGGAAAGCTAACTCTGCTACAGTTTTCTCTAAGATTGTGACAGTGTACGTGTCATGTTCGTGAACGGGACCGTTCCGTCAACTGGGACTGGTCAGCTCCGGACTATATTTTTTACTGTCCTTTAAGGTTATTTTTTTCGATCTCTATGACTGTATTTTAGTTTTACATTGTTCTCGCACAATCCAAACAACAAAACTATGTAACTAGAGATTGTATTGTGAACCAGATTGAAAAAGAGTGACCTATGGAGCTTATTGCTCGTTCTTCTCCAAAGGAATCTTCTCCTTGGAATGAGAAAATAGCTTTACTTTAATTTTTTTTATTGACGTTCAAAAGTGCCTAACTAGTCTAATTGAAATAAACGATTTTGGCTTTGACTTTAAATGTTGGAACACTCAAACAAGATAAAAAAGGGACCAGTGTCTTGTAGATTAGATCCCGTGAAAGTATACTCCTGGAATATAGACCTCCTCCACATATAAACATAATCATATCATATTTCCAATGCTACAAGTGGGTCGGAAATTATAGTTCAAAAGGTTCAAGTTTATCCGAGACTACTTCTGCCCAGTCTCCGTAAAATGGCAGTTCCTAACTCAACTGTTGTAATTACAAACGTAATTTTTTACACTGTCGTCACTAATGGTTACTGTGTTTTAAAAAATATTAAAACTGTACAATCACTTGTATGTGGTAGCCTTAGGAATCAGATTAGGTGGTAAAGGTTCTGGTTCATCACTTTCTGTTTCTGGTATCTTGACTGCAGTAGCCACGTATGTTTCTTCAACTGGACTATACACTGTGTTTTTCATTAATGTTTCTGGGATCTTTAAAAAATAATATTTTAGGATAAATGTTAAGAGATATGATAACTGTACAGTCTAAGTTTACTTTTATAGTCTTTAGTGTTTTCATTGTCGTTAACAATTTGATGAGTAGAAATGGAATTGTTAACGCTTTAATTTCCCTTTTTCTATTCAGCTTATGTAGCCGTCCAATTAGTGGTCTGAATGACTGACCAATGTCCACTAGTTTGATAGAATCGCGGACATGAAGATACATGTCTATTACTAAATGTTATACCTGGCAAAGCTGCACTGACATCAGGATTTGGCCGCTGTACTCCGCTCCCTTGAAGAGATCATACCACTGCAATTTGGGAGCATACAGGTAGTCTTGCCTTTCATCCACAACAGGCTGAACTTGTAACCGCCCTATTAGTTCACTTTTACCCTGAAATTGATAACAATGGCAATTATACGTCCCAATGTTCAAACGCCATGCTCAATCTCTAAACACTTAGGTATAGTTCTATCACTACAAATTCTTTGTGAAATGAAGAGATGGCACGATACTAAAGTACAAGCCTTTCAGTATTTCTGCCGATAGTGTCTTTTCTCTTGAGTTGGTAAGATTAGTGATCATTTAAATGTTCAGATTTATCAAACATGTAGTCCCTTGTTGATTCTTCTATTCTTTAATGTACATACATACATAGCTTCACGCCTGTCCCCCATGGGGGAAGGCAGAGACTAGGGAACGCCATTTTATACGATTCCTACATACCTCTTTCGCTTCATCAACAGTCATCAAAAATTAAAAAACGTGCAATTTTTGTAACAAGACGTCATTAAAAAGCAGTTCAAGTCACGAAGATCGAACGTCATGTGACAAATAACTGACATCATAGGCTGACAGGCAAAAAAATTGCTTTGAAGATTGGATAAAAGAATATGGCAATTTTCATTTACTTTCAAACTGGATTTTAAGAGATGCTTTTTCAGAGCAAAATGCACTCACCAACTGATCGCTGTCAAGTACCTCAACCATCACTAATGGCGGACTGTTTTGTATTCTGTCGTGGGTTGCAGATACAAGCTTATGTATCTTCAATACTTGGTTCCAAATTGGCGTAAGAGTCTTCTGCTGGACCTGGAATTATACCGTTATTCTAATTAAGTTCTGTTGGCTAAATGATAAGTCATCTTTAATGTAAAGGACGTCTAGTGGCTGACATGATGGCGAATGTTACCTGTCCAAAAACCATTACTTATTTATTTTTAAGACCATCGCTAAAATTCAAAGCAAATATACACATGAAGGCTCAAGTGGAGCTCTCAATAAAGATACGTTTTAAGTTAATAGTTAACAGAGACTAATTTAAAGCTGCCTGAGAAGTAACAAAAAAGGAAACGTGTAACTACACGTTTCCAAAGAAATGTAAAACCTAATCCGATACTAACTAACTGGTTAGTATCGTAGAGATGGTGAAAGGTAATTTGATAAAAGATGAAATACGAAAGGCTTACCTTAGTTTCTTTAACAGAATTTAAAGTATTTATCCTAACAAAGGGGTGTGCATGGTTACTTCTATCTACACTTGTATTCAATTTTGCTCTATATACGAAAACACGGCATTCCAGCATCTGAAATGTGAGAAGGATGTTTCGTTAATAATATTTTTCTATTGTTTTTTATTCATGTTTTCACATAATACGATTTTAATTACTTCCGTTTTTTGGCAGTTTAGTTTCTCTTCATTTCACTTGTTTCACAATGTATATAAAACTAACGACTTGTATGTGGAACTAACAAATCAACAACTTATTATTTTTTTGATAGTTAACTAATAAAACAATCTTAATTTATAGGTTCACATTAACGCTTTAACACTTACCATTGTGGAAGTCTTGAGGCACATATCAAAGTCTTTAACTTTTAGCTTGTAGCCTTTCGGTAGGCAGCCCTCGAATGCATGGATTTGTCGATACAAGCCCATCCATAAGATGAGTTCCACCTTTCCAGCGATGCAGCAACACCCCGTAGCCATCGTGTTCATATGCTTCGGACATTTTAATGGCTGGAAAATTAAAGACAAATTATGTTGTAAGTGACCGCTTGGTGTTTGACAGTTTAATCTTACTAATATTATAAATGCGAAAGTTTGTGTGTTAGTGATTTTTTTATACTTAATAGGTCGACGTGGACGACGGAGCACGCCTACCTATGAGCAACCTTTTCACTCGGGACTTGAAGACACCCAAGTCATATTTGACCGGAAACCCAGACTCCGGCAAGGAATTCCATTCCTTCGCGGTTCGCATGAAGAAGCTTGACGCTAAACGCTTCGTGGAATGTCCAAAATATAAGGGTGGCGCCCTGCCATTCGTCTGGTCGTTTTACCAGTTAAAATTTAAACCAGTTTTGTCGTGGTAAAATGGACAAGGGGGAATAAATAATAAATAGTGTGTTTGTGTGTGTTTGTTTTTCAATCATGTCAAAACAACTGAAAGGGTCGGGATGGTATTTGGAACAGGGATAGACTTTTTTTTAAGGGGGGAAAATCATCGAATGACTGCTCCCGCCTGGGTGAGGCGAGAGGAAGTGTCAGACTCTTACTGACTAAAAACCACCCCGTTCCTTCTCCTGCACGTCGAGCCAGAGCTCCGGTAACCCGTTAGGTTCTCCGCGACAGGTTGGTAAAGCATAAGACCAAATTGAAAGGAAACCATTTTTATTTTTCAACGCACTTTGCTTCGTTTATCAACGAGCTTGTTGGAATCAATGCGATGAAAGTACCAGAAGATATACCACCCAGCAAAAATACTTACTTAGCAACAATAAATGTCGTGAAAAAAATCATTTAAAAGAATTTAATGAACTTGAGTTGTCCGAGTGCGTTTTCAGGGTGTTCGACACACGTATGACTGTAAAACTGTATATTATATTGGATTAAAAATATAAATAAAGTTGCACAATAATATAATGGAATAAAACTCAAATATTTCGTGGTACAAATACGCGCGTGCGTCACGGCTCCGGCACGGGACTCGTAAGACTCGTTATGTGTCGTTTCCATGCAATCGTCGAGCAGTCAGTGGCGGGGATGTGGGGGAAGATGAATAGTTAAGTGGTGTTTTGCCACTAGAGTTACGGGCGTGCGTCCGACACAAACCAAAATCAAATTGCCGCGTTTCAATAATTATTTTATAAACTACGGTTAAAAAACGACTGCAATCCCCACTATTTTTGGGTTTAATATACTAAAACCTTCTCTCCTAAGTGTAACAAACACTTTTCGGAAAACTGCATCAAAATCGGTCCAGCCGATCGCGAGATAATCGTGCACAAACATATAGTAGCTAGACACATAGAGGTTAAACGGAGAATCTCTTTTTTTGAAGTCAGTTAAAAAACTGCCCAAAAAAGTAATAATACGCTTCTTTATCTTTATTTAGGGCATTTGAAACCATAATTTAAACAGAATAAAGAGAAAAACTTCATGTTATCAAATTGCAGAATGCAACTGTTGAATATCAAAAGCGTGTAATTGCTGTGGGGTTTATAATACTTGCATCTGTTTGATTTATACAAAGGGGAACACGTTTAGCCTTGAAAACTTTACATTTTTTGTTCGTATCTACATCTGCCTATCCCCGTTGGTGAGTGGTCACGAAATTGATTAGTCTTGCTTAACAACTACTTAATAATTCAATCCCGGTTGAAAAAAAAAATACTGAAATCCCTTGTAATTCATTCTGCAACCAGCAATCGTACTTTTTAACACTGTCACAATTTCCCATCTTAACGGAAGATGAAAATTATTAGGGTTTAGAATTTCAATCATTTTGTGTCCAGAAACTTGACGAAAGTTATCTCATTTGACAATATTCACAACAATTATTTCCCTTAATAAAATGCCCCTTAACTTTATTGCAATAAAGTAGTGTTGACTACCTACTAACACAACTAATACATTGTACTGGAATAGGTATAACCCTAACAACAATACAAAACTTATCAAAGATCACGATGAAACTAATTAACAACGTAAACAATAATCTATCACAGACAACGTTTGTCTTAACTTTATAAGAACTTAAGTAACATAAATCACTTAACTATTGCACTTTGAACTTTATTATATTCGAAATAAAGTATAAATAATACTGATTTATAACATATCACTTAACTATAACACTTTGAGCTTTAACATTAAAGAAATAAAGTATTAAATATATTGAATTTGACCTTAAAGTGAGGACACGTGTAACACTCAACAGACTTGGTTGCTACTGACGCAGACCGGCAGGGGGAGACGTCTGTTTGGTCTGGTTGAAGGCTACCCTACTCCTATTACCTTTTATTTGTATAACTGGATCTACCTATGTTATTATTTACTATCTTTTATTATAAAAATAAATCGCTAAATGTGTTGCTAAGGCCAAATGTTAAGAATAGGTAAACCGATTTTCTTAATTCTTGTTTTTCTTGGGACTGTGACTTTTTGGAGAACGTTCTTATGATTAACGTTCTTAGATGTACCTAAGAAAAAATAACAAAAATGCGCAGAATATGTTACACCGTAAAATAAAATTTGCAGGTCCCACTAGTTTATATTAAAAAAAGATTAGTACTCGACTCTTTATTAAATCAAGTTATCATTTGATATTAAGCAAACATTGTTATGTAACATAATGATTTGGAAAAATAAACTGCATTACGATATCGATACCGAATTCTAAGAATGGGGCTTATATTCAGTAATAGGTTATGTTATTTTTTCTATACCTTAGTAGATGTGTTGTTGTAATTTATGTCTGTTAGATAATTGTAATCATGTTCTTGTAATATATAGTTTATTTTTAACATTTTTTCTGCTTACAAGGGGAGAAAATCGAAAAGCCCTCATCATTTCTAAGAAATAATTTTCTATTTTTATTCGAGTAGAACTTAATCGGTATTATAATTATGTAACGCGTTTTCTTGTGAATTGGGAAAAGTATTGGGTAAGTCTTTTTACAAAGGACGTAAATAGATTGACCAACTATTTTTACTCTTAAAAATTAAAAGCGCTTTCGTTCAACGAGCACGCATTAACCAATGGATAAATTATACATAGGTCCAGTAAATAGTGAACCATGTGTGTGGGGAAATAGCTGCAAGCAATACCTACTTAAAAACCCAATATATTTTAAGGTCAATTTATGATTTCAAAATTGTTTTAACAGTTTCGCAAATATCGAAAATTTTGGACACATTTTTTTTAACATAATATTATGTCAGTGAAAAAATGATTATTTAGCAAGTTTAGACAACTCGCTCGCCAAAGGTGAAGATTATGGCAAACCCCTTGATAATCAACTTTGAAACAAATATAGAAGATCCAACAGTCAAACTATTTAAGTGTAGTTTTGTTGGACCTGGCGTTAGACTGTAAGGCATATCATGTACCTTTTATTATTAAATAAATAAATAATGACGTCCATAGTCAATTAGTAAAATCTTAGGGGCCGACGATGATGATTGTATTTAAATAAATAACAACAAACCCTCAAGTAAATGTTTTGTATCCGTCCACAATGGCTTCCATTCTGTTCAGGGATCACAGAGTATACTATATCAGCTATTGACATCTTATAGAAGGCTACTCTTGACCCGCCGTTAAGAAGCCACACTACTATATCAGGCCACCCTTCTGACGTCTGCAATAAGATATTTTTTTTATATTTTCAAAATATTCAGTTATACTAAGGGGTTGAAGGGGTTATCCATTATTCAGTATAATTATTATAACTTATATATTCTGCACGAACTTGATTTTTTAAATGAAAGTTTATAATATTGACGACCAGCTAAACGTTCGCATTTAATATTAAAACTAACTACCTATAGGCTTGTGTAAAACCAATAGGGTCAAAGTACCTATGACTTTTTCAGACAAAACATGTATAAGAATATTGATCACTTTACCTTGTAAATTAAACCTTTCAGATTCTCAGCAATTTGTCTAATATCCGCTAACATAAACTTGACGTCTCTCTTTGTGCTGTTGATAGAATCCGTCCTAGACAGGCTTTGTATGAAGCTCAATGAAGAACCCCTCTGTGTTCTTTTAGTTATTTGCTGGTAGATTTTTTCCTGTATTATAAAATAAATCGATATTTTATCTCAACGTATAGACTTTACTAGTTATATTACATTTGTTAGACTTTAGTTAGTTTATACGCGCAGTTGGTTCGCATATACGCGCAGTAGAGGCGCGTTTCACATCCGCTCCATGAATTTAGGTTTGTGTTCAAGATTGCGTTCGAATCTCATATACGCGCTTCATAAGCGCGTATACGCGCCATCAAACGCCGTGTGCTATTGGCATAAGCGACTGTTTCATTACCTTCATTAAAAAGTACCCGATAAACATAAGTGACAGGTAGTTCATACAAACTTACATATTAATTTTAATTAATCTGGTACATAGCGGTTTTGGTTATGCTGATGATAATTATGATGAATAAAATTGAGTATATTCAGTAAACTCACAATTTCTTCCTTCTGCAAAGCCAGCTGTTTATTATCTAGTTCAGTGCTGTACTTCATCATAGTGTTATCGGTACTACTACCAGGACCGGAGTACTGTATAATGTCCAGAAACTTGAGGATATTGCCAGCGGCATCATCTACCGCCTTACTGAGGTCTTCTGTTAGCTCTCTTAACGAATCAAACTCAGAGTTTTTGAGACGCCGCTCCACTTCTGTTAGTGCTTGTTCCTGTAAAGAAGATGTGTCGAGTGACAAGAGTGAGGATTATTTATGACAAACCATCTCCAAAGGTACTGTTTCACATGCTTATTTCCGGCACCAAAGCATGCTTCAATTGAGTACCTACTTGTCACTTAGTAGCATGTGTAACGGAATGTTGCCCAGAATTAGTATGCTCATTTCAAACATGTTGACGGAACGACAGGCGTTCGATTTTTAAACATTTTTGAGCATAATCAATAGAACTTCGATCAACAATAACAACTAGATAAAGGGTTACGTACAAAGTCAAGCTCCAGTTCTGTCCGTGTGAATAATAATAGTAAAAAATAACAAACAGAGAAAAATGTTTTAAAATAGTTTTAAGTTCAACCTAATAACAACCATGGCATCTTATTATATAGTCATAAATCGTCAAAATATTATCTAATACTTACGACCATTCGTCACATAAGACAAGAAAAGTATTTTCTTACTCCTGTCATGTAGAAATTAAAAGACATAAGTTATACAATATTTAGTTTGAATTCAACCTTAAGTTCGAACAAATAAAGATAATTTTTCCATTATTGTCTTGCGATCTATATCGTTTTGTTTTGTTACGTTTTGTTTCTTCAAATTTCGAATTTCGCTACAGGAGGTATGTATGGAGTCTCGTTGTACACTAAAATAATTTTATAATATGAAAATTAAGATTTCGGGATCTTAGTATTCATCACTTATTTTTATTAGCGGTATATGTTTTTGTGTATGATATGTTTATTTACTTTATCATTAAAAGTCTAAGTCTAAGTCGAAATCATTTATTTCAGTTAGACCAGGATGGCACTTTTGAACGTCAACAATATAAATTTAAAAGTGAAGCTATTTGCTCATTCCAAGGTGTAGATTCCTATGGAGAAGAACGAGCAAGAAACAATACAATTTTATTTTTCAATACAAATCGACTCGATGCATTCACTGTTCTGTTTAAACAAATGTTGGCGAGGCTTGGCCAAGGAATCGCCAACACACGCACAAACATTGGTGGCGTTGGTTTATAATTGATAATTTTGTCTAATTTGATATTATTTACTAGTTTAAAAGCTTAAAATATAACTTATACTTTATGTATTTATCAAAAGTAAGACACTCCGGCCGTTATACTGCTTTTTCGGTTGTTATTTTTGCAACTTGCAATTATGCACTGCGGCATCGTGAGACGTGAGTACGTTGGCCGTGTTTGGAGCATACTAAACAAAATAAGAGCTCACTTCTCAAGTGAGCTCTTATTTGTCGAGACGATTTTCTTGCGCTGACCCGATATCTAGTTGTTATTGTTGATCGAAGCAATAGAACGTCTTTTGGCATGTCATTTTAGAGCATGCGTAACAATACCTTAAAGCATTTTCTACTCAGTGAAAGAATTCGAATAGATGATTTTATTACGAACGAATAGATGATTTAATTATTTTTGATATTAAATATTCTTACTTTACCTTGCATATATATATATTCGAAGTTATAATGTTTGTTAGATATTTGTTTTTTCTTGGTTTTGTTTTTTTTTTCTGTTTTAGTATGTTCTGTTATTTGTATGTTGCGTCAGGTATGTCTTTACATTATTCTCACATGTGTGTACAATATTGGAATATGTATCAGAGCAATGTAAAACAGACTTTTTTTAAAAGAGTAACGAAAGGAGTTTCTTGCTCGTTCTTCTCCACTCGAATCGACATTTTGGAACGAGCGCCTAGCGCCTAGCTTCACTGACGGACAGACTGACAGACAATTATATATTTCATATTTGTTGACGTTTCAAAAGTACCAAATTATGGTTTAATTCAAATAAATGCTTTGACTTTTGACTTTGAAAGGCCTCTTCTCGCACGGAGAAGGTTTGACCATCATGCAACACACTTTTGAGTTTGAGTTAGAAGGAATACATTTTAATAAGTTACCTAGTAAAAGACACAAATTCAATGTATGTCTACCAAGCAACAAAACAACATTATTAAATAAAAGTATATTATGTATGGCTCCACGCATATATGTATAATCATTTTCCAAATTCATTTCTGGGCATAAGTGATGAAAATATATATAAAAACAATGTTAAAACACTGTTACTGAAAAAAGCATATTACTCTGTCACAGAATATTTACAGGATAAGCTTATATAATGTTACCTCATTTGTAAAATACTAGCTTATTGGTGCCAAATATGTGTTATTGTATCTTTATTTTAAATTTGCATGCCTTTAAGGTATATGGTTAACGGACACTATGTTGTATAAGACCTTTTTTTTGTACCCATGTTCGCAAATGAATAAATGATTTGATTTGATTTGATGAATTAATGATGATTATGTAAACTGTAGTGCAAAATAAATGTATACTAAAAAAATTAAATTATTTAAATACAACTCTCAGTTCGACAAAGCAAATGAAATGTTCAAACACGAAAAATATGTCAGAAGTGGGATTCGAACCCACGCCCACAGAAGTGGACTGCGACCTGAACGCAGCGCCTTAGACCGCTCGGCCATTCTGACTTAAACATTTAAGTGAAATGTGGTTTCAAGATCCAAACACACCTAATTAAAAATAATTTTAGGTAAAGACAAAAGCTTTAAAAATTAGTCATTTTCGGTGTACGAACGCGTTTACCACGAACCAACTAGCTCAACATCCCATTCGTTTTTCTTAAGTTAAATATTTGTAAAATTTAATTACAGCCCTTATTATAGTCTTTAATCTTTGTAAGTATATTTTAATTTTAGTTAGCGGCTCGTTCCAAAAAGCTCAGGGTGACAATTGTCGAGTTTGCTAAAAAACTTTCCAAATATTCCTTTACATTCACCTCGTCCATAAAAAAACAAACATAACAGATAAATCGACACAAGATTCCTGATTCCACTATTCCCATGGCCATCGGATCGCATAGGAAATGAAGAATATTACATTATTATGTCAAATAGGAAGATCTTACCAAATCAGTAACGATGCCGTGAACCATATTGTTTCTGTACATCCTAAATCTGAAGTCTGGTAATCTCATGGCCAGCTGAAGAACGGGGAACGTGTTCTCGAAGTCGAGGTAGCCATGTACAGGACGAGTTTTCAACACATCCATTGAACCAGTGTAGTATAGTTTCCGTTGTTCTAAGAAATAATTACAGAATTGAAAATAAAAAAGTTATACAGTTTAGCCGACCGTTATCAAAATATTTCATCTTCTCATACTTACTTATCTCAGACATCATAGCAACAAACTCTGAAACAAGAAAAAAATATCGAACTTAATTTAACTGATTGAATTTATCATAACATCACGCCTTTTATCCATAGGCAGAGGTGCACATTATGCCACTGTACCATGTAAGACCCACTTTTCAC